TTTTTTTTCCAGCCAGCCTGGAAAAATTTTTCCCACCAAATCGATGGGAAAAAATTTTCATCAAAAAGTCGAAAAATACACACGTGTGGAGGAAAGAAGGAAAATATTTTCTCTGGAAAATTTGACGTACCAAATAGGGCCTTATAGACAAATCAATTCCCTGTAAAACATTTTCTTTTCACCAATTTTTCACATTTACAATTAGACGGACCCTAAATATATGATATCAAGGAGAAAAAGGTTATTAGTATCTCAAATTCTGCACAAGTATATGGTAGATGTTGCCCAATGTCTAGAAGTTCGGTGAGACATGCACCTACTCAAGATAATTATCCATATTTGGAAAGAAATCTCAATTCTCATTCACGAATGCCACTAATAACTGGAAAAATCACCTCTGGAAGTAGAATTGGCAAATGAAGATAGATAAGGGTAGAAAAATTCTAGTCCTAAGAAAGTCACAGATTCCATAGGTTTCATGCAATCGAAAAACGAGAAAAATGACTGGAGTAGGGGAACTTCATGTGTATTTGTCTCTCTCTCTCTCTCTGCTGAAAAGTATATCATAATCAATTTAACTTTCATTCATGTTCAGGTAGCCAAAACAAAGGGAATAGGAATGCAATACCCACCACAACTTGCCTTCGAACAAGTAAATTTCCAAATCAAAACAGAGCATCCTCAAAATCAACAACACTGTAAACACGAGTAAATATCAAATCATGGAGCAAGAATTTAATGGTAGTTCCCCAGTTATTGATAGCGCTGAAAATGGTCAATATCAACAAAAATTACAGAACGTGAGTTTAAATTAATAAAGTACTAATGAACCACACCATTGAACTAGCAACATGAATACTTGATCAACGAAATACAGCTAAATGATAGAGAGAAGAATGGTACAAGTGAGATGCATCTACAACGTCCACACAAAATCTGGTGCATCTTTCCGGGGCCCAACCAATGTTCGATACAGGTACATTTTCTCTACTTTCTGCTTATCATCAACACTATCCTCCATCTGGTCACTTTCATTGATGATCTCAACATTAAGCTTTGGCATCTTCTGGGCAAGGGTTTTGCATGCTCCAAGGGTCACTTCACAGGACGACATCCAAAGGGATCGCATTGTTTCATACTTCCCCATGTCCGCTAGAAGTGCCACATTGCCAAAAGGGCTATCCCTGATCTCCAGCTTCTTGAGCTTCTTGCATCCATTCAACACATAAAGCATTCCCTTGTCACTATCCCCAGCAAAGGCAATTGAAAGCATTTCAAGCTGTTTAGCATACCTTCCGAAGTAAAGGAAAACTTGATCAGTCAGGAGGCCAGAGACAGATAACCGCTTAAGACCCTTGCATGACTTGACAATTGCCCCAAAACCTTCATCTAATGGTTGCATGGTTACGGCATCTGGTACAGTTGGGTTAAGCGTGCACAATCTGAAGCGAATGAAATTGGGGCAATTTTTAGCAACTGTAATGAGTGCTGCATTGGTCATCTGCTGACAGAAATAAAGTATCGAATTAAGCTTGGGACAACCAGCTGATATCGCAACTAATCCTTCTTCGGTTACAGAAGCATTGCCAACAACATAGATATCAGATGGGAAAACCCTCAATTCCTGCAGTTCTTTACAAGTTGAGGCCACAACACCAAGCCCTTTATCTCCAATGGTATCTAAAACCTGTAAATACATTCTTAATCTTAGTAATTTCAAGATAGAATAAATAAATATTGAATTTAAACAAACAGTTAAAAGAGAATCGAACCAATAGGCGCTCTAATTTGTTGCAGTGGCATATTAACTTTACAAGCTCATCACTATAGATTCCTGGAGCATAGCTCAGATTCAATGTAGTCAAGTGTCTGCAAATTGAGTAAATGGCAGGCAAGCAGCGTGCAGTAACATCCAAGAACCCTGACAAGCTTGTGATTGAGGTACACTTCTGCATAGAAGTTTCTAATTTGTTATATGATTCTGAGTCGGGATCGTGGACAAATGACCCAGTCCCTAAATCCACCAGTTGAGGTGCTTGTGCTAAAATTCTCTGGAGAGCATCGAGAGGCACTGCATGGTTAACCCTCAGACTTCTAAGGTTACAACATCTTGCAACCAATCTTTCTAGAGATGCCAAATTAACTTCTCCCTTGAGGCATGCAAAATTCAAAGAGACAAGAGAAGTGCAGCTGTCAGGAAAGCGGCTAAGCCACTGCCCTCTACGGTCCTCAACTTCATTTTCTTGCAAATCCAGCTCCCTAAGAAACCTTTCACAAGGACCACACTGTCAACAGACATTAAACTATCCAAAGGAATAGCTAGAGAAATCAAAGGCTAATAGTACTCATCCAAAAAATCTACATTCACCTTGAGGGAAGTAGTAATCAGTACTATAATAAAGTATTGGAGATGTTGCAAGGCAGTTATAATCCAAAGACTAGTCATTACCAATCAAACATGACTTAACAGCTGTATACTCTATGTTTACATCTTGGATTTTATGGAAAATGATTAATTAGTACTTCCCAACTCTTAGTGCATCTTCTACTTGCAATCTAACATTGAGTTTATTAGCCAATAGATGAGCAAATCACAAAAGAAAATACATGTCGGTGCTGGAGCTTGAAAGAGTGCACATACAAGGCATCACATTCACAGGGAACAATAAAATAAAATAATAAAAAAAATGGATTGTACATAGTAAAATACACATTATGCCTATTTAAGAGCTGTTTTGGAGTGAAAGCAGGGCAGGGCCAAGACCAGTAGTGAAGCACCAGAAGGATTGTATGACCTACATAATAGCTATCAATTCAACATCAAGATCTACCAATAATCAGAAATTTAAGTAGCCCAAACCAAGAACAGCTCCAAGACAAAGCCAAGCAATATCTAATTATATTAATAGCAAAATTGCAGATAAAGTGACAGCAGAGCAAAAACTAAAGCTGCTAAATTAAATCGAAGAAGATCTAGAAAACGTGAAGTCTAGACCTGCAATTGGATGCAATGGCAGCAAGACCATCCGTGGTGAATCCTTCACAGCTAACCAAAACCAAAGACTTGAAATTGGGAAAAGAATTTGCTAGCAGCTCGAGGCTTTCATCAGAAACCAACATCCTCTTCAGCCTTAGTTCCTCAAGATTCACACCGCCTTTAACCATGGACTCGATCCAGGGTTGCACGTATCCACCCCAATCATGGGGGACCAAGTTGAAATCCGCAAAATGGGGCTTCCCTTTGAGCGTTAACGACCGAACCCTAGGGAACCTCGCAATCAGCCTGTCCGGGCTGATGGCATAGCAGTTGCCTATGAAAACCTTCTCTCTGCTGAATCTCTCGACCGCATACCACGACTTGCAAACCAAAGACACCGCATTTCGGTCACGATGTGATGTCAAAAAGTCGAATACATGCTCTAATACCTCCTCCGGGAAGTAATTCAGCATACTCTGAAATGAACGCATCTGGTCCTTTTTAACTCTAGCTGACCCGATCTTTAAATAACACGGCTCTTTCCCAAAATATATGTGATTTTTGAGGGGTGAAAAACCCAAAAAGCTACTAATATACTATGTAGTATTTATTGAACATGAAATATGATAAAACTACGGATTTTGAAGTTCAAAAAAAGGAGTCTTTCTTTTTGTGCATCTGAGCTGCAATATACAAGATGCAGGCTAGATCTAAAGATTTTTGGCCCAAAATAAAGCTCTGGGTTGTCTTCGACTTTCAGATTAGATCTGAAAGAAACAAAGAGGCAAGATAAGAAAATAAATTTTTTTTCTCGAGAGGAAATTATAGGATAAGTAACTGAAAGATAATTCGGACCTCTATCATCATCATCCAAAAATCAAAAGGTGATGATTAAAGAGTTGAACAGCAAAAAATGATTAAAAAACAGGAAATACAATAACAGATTGGAATGGAAAAATCACAGATCTGAGAAAAACTAAGCTAAATTCCCATTTATATTATAGAAAAAAAGAATCAAATTTCACCAACAAGAACAGCATAAAAACAAAGCAAATTACCCCGAGCGATTATAATCACTCAACTCCGTAAGAAAAAATCCAAAGCCTCTATCTCTCTCTCTCTCTATATATATATTGATATATGTATCCATTTTCTCACTCAAAAACTGAGCACAGGACTATCATTTCATCATGAGAGAGGAGAAGAGAGAGAGAGAGAGAGATTGTAGTAAAGTAGGGTTTCCATATCTTAACCATGCTTAGAAGAAGATCTGACGGTAGATGTTAGCTCGATGGACAGAGAAGGGAGAAATCTTGACCGTTGACATGCAGCGTATGTCGTTATCTGTGGTTCTCAAAAGTGACCTTGCTTTCACTAAATATTTACGGAAATACCATTCTGTTGATAAGGTTTGGATTTTCCACTCGCCGATTACAGTGTATTCGCGGAAACAGTCCCATGTGGGGTGGAATCTTAGTGCCCGGCTAGCCTCACATACAGCGAGTGTTTTGTTATTTCTACTCTCGAGAATATGATTGATTTAGCCATCACAAAATTATGAGTTTTTCTCGGGGAAAGAAAATTTCTTTTTAGGCTCAACTTTTGTTTGAATAGCTAATAAGTTCCTTATATTTTGAAAGGAGAAAATGTTTTCAACTTGTAATCATAATAACGTAATTAGCCTTGAGCTCTATTATTTTTAAAAGTGTGTTTGAACCACATTATTTTCAAATAATGTATTTTAAAATAGTAAATTGATAGAAAATATGTGGTTGGAAAAGTAATGTGATGAAAAATATTATTTTATTGAAAAATGTGTGATTAAAAATGAGTAAAAAAATGAGAATGAAAATTTTAATGTGACTCAAACAGGGGCTAAGTGTGTTCATATACCAGTGAGTGTTTGACACCCATTTTAATGGGTTGAAAAATTTAGAATAGTGATTGATGAGAGAATGTGTGGTGGAAAAGTGATGAAAAATTTTGATTTGTGTATAATATTATTTTATTTAAAGATTATGTGGTTGAAATGAAAAAAGAGAATGAGAATGAAAACAGAGAATGTGTGCCAAACATGAGCTATATTGTTATTTAAGTACCATTTTCGTTAACGTAGCATGTCAACCTGGTGATAAAATATTGAGCCACATTATTTTGGAAACTGTATTTTGGAATAGTAGATTAATGAAAAATGTGTAATTGAAAAAGAAGGAAAAATTATTGATGTGATAGAAAATAATATTTTATTAAAAATGCGCTGTTGAAAATGAGTAGAAGAATGAAAATGAAAATTTTAATATGGCTCAAACATGGGCTAAAATTTATTTTCCTTTCTCTTATTTTCAATTATACATTTTTCAATAAAATAATATTACAAGTAAATCGAAAAAAAAAATCTCTATTTTTTAACCACAAGTTTTTCAAAAAATCATTATTTCAAAACACATTTTTTTCCCTAAGTTTCATTATGGCGGGGCGGGGACCAAATCTAAGTTTAGTCATTGTTTGAGCCCTGTTTTTTAAAATTTATTTTTCTTTAAACTCATTTTAAATTATGTATTCTCTCAATAAAATAATTTTATACATAATTCAAAAAATTTCTTACTTTTAAATTATACATTCTCCAAAAAAAATCATTTTTTTTAATAAAATCTACTCTCAAAAAATAGGGCTCAAACGGGGCTTTAAGAGTTGGACACGTGAATGTTTTGAATAAAAATTTGTAGAGCGGAATAGTGTTGATATTAGGAAAATGCTATTTGTACATTAGGGGGTACACCCTTATGTACACTTCGATATACTTGTAGCACCTTCCTTGATATTATGTGAGGGAGCAATGGTGTGATTTTTGTTTCGGGAGTTGAGTGGCTCATAAATGATTAGGAAAATTGAACAGTAGAGGAAAATGATTTTGACAAAATATAAGACCACTTCAAATTCAGGCAGACAGACAGATCTGTAAATGGAATCTATAATCATAAGATTTTTATTGGGTTGTGTGGTGTGAAAATGGCAAATGCTGCACACACACACGCACACGCACACATTTAGGAGCTACCGAGGAATCCTAGGACATTGCAATTTCATTATTGCTTTTATTCGGAGCAATTAATCATAGTAAGAAAATGATCATACACTTACTTTGGATTAGTTTTTGTTGATTAGACAAGTACTCAAAGTCAATTTATTGTGCCTTATATGCTTGTATAATGTATATATGTGTCTTGTGTTTCTGCATCTACCAACAAGCATGGCTTAATTCTCACATTCTCCTTTGTCTTTCATGCTTCCAAATGTGAAGTAGAATTACTTTGGCTGAGTTACTTTTCATCAAGGACATACGAGTCTTTAGTATATATTTATTTTCTTCTGCTCGGGCGCGATATTTTCTCACAGTCATAAGAAATGATCATGAAATTTAGCATATTGAGCCTTTAACTCGGCATTTCTTTGTGGAGTTCGTCTACTTGTTAATATGTACTTCTTGCCATAAAGGATATTCATGTTAACTAATGGCAACCCCGGCCCACGGGGGGCACGACGAACGCTCAATGATATTTTGAAAAAAAAAATTATGTTTATGAATAAATTTATGAATTTTTTTAAATATATACAAAATATATGTTTATTTTACCCCTTCAAAAAATTTTCGCCACCTAACATTGAAATCATGGCTCCGTTGTTAGTGTTACAACCAAGGTGGTGCTATAGAGTGAGAAAAAAAAATTATTTTCCAACAAACTATTCCCTATTTGATGGCCATTATTTGGTGAAAACAAAGTTTGGAACAATGAATTTTTCGAGAATGTATAGTTAAAAAATAGAAAAATATTTTGATTTATGTACATAATATTTTATTGTGTGAATGCATAGTTAAAAATGAATATGTAGAATAAATAATTTTTAAACAATGGCGATGTATGTTTTATATGTGTGTACTATTTGAATCATTTTATGTCTAGACAAGTTTAATGTTTTTGCAATGTTTGATACGTTATAGGTCAATGATCAAATTAACGGTCTATTTAATTGACGAAAATAACTTTCACGAAGTAAGAAATTTGATATATTGTTCAAATTGAATTGATTAATGTATGAATTAGACACCGCTATTTTGTTTTTTCTTACCTTTAATTGTTTTCGAGAAATAAAGGTCTCTGAGTAAAATAGACTTAAAACACTTAACTTTATGTGAGTTGGTCATGTGATATGGTTCATGGTCTAGGAATGTACGTGAAGACTTTAAAATGCTTGGAAGGGCATATATATACATGTAGGGCCGGTCCTGTGATTTTCGGAGCCCGAGGCAAACTCGGTAAATTGGGCCCCCCCACCAACATTTGGGATGTGGCACCGACGACTCCATCAGAAACATAATATATGAAATTCAGAATAAGACGCAACATATTTCTTACCAAAAAGCTATAGGCCTTTCATAGTGATGATATATTTCCACTTGTTTCTAGTCATCTTTTCAATAATAACTTCTTGCTTCTCCTACAAAACAGTTCATAATATGTTTAGTGCACTCAAAACCGAGCCCTTCATAAGATAAATGTAACACAAAAAATGCAAACAACATCAATGATTAATGGCCCCCAATTCAAAATTCTCGACAACAACTTATGTTTTGTTGTGCATTAAAGGGTCTTTGTTTTGACAGCAACACCTTTGATGCTGTCTAAAGAAGCACAACCCAAACATGCTTAGAACGAAAAATGTTAAGTATACAGCAGCACTAACGAGAAATAATATGCATCTCTTAAGGGAAGCATACAAGAAACACAAGGACAGCAAGCCTTTCCAATTTAAGCCAACGAGTTCCTTGATTCATCGGTAGGGATCTTAACATTAGCATATAAAATTTGTATAATTTCACGTCTTCTGAATTGCAATGGGAAAGACTTTATTCATACAATTCTATACTAATTACACAATCAAACTATTTAGAAAATTATACGAAAATCAAACATTTATTTTCAATTAAAAACTCTGCAACATCTTCATAGTATAGTAAAATTATCTCTCTTGTTTATAACTATATTTAGAAACCCTTCCAGAGATGACCCATCATAAATTTAGTGTTATCCTGTAAATTACAGTAATTCATACCTCGATTTCGTGAATTGAAAAGAAAAGGACAGAGAGCAAATACTAATTGTAGGAAAAAAAAAATTGCCAACATATGTGCACTCAAAACTGAACGCTTCATGAACTCCCAAAACCAAACACCAGTAATATAGAAACACCATAACCAGTACGACAGTTCCCCAAAATTCCAAAGCAGGCCGGCATGCCCTAAAGGTACAAAAACAGATTCTCAAAAAATATCACCTTCTTTTTAATCTTTCCATCGGCTGGAGTTGGATGACGTCGCCAGTCGCCAATCCGATCGGAGTTGGAGGAGTCGCTAGTGGAGCTGGAGGAGTGGATGTCGAGCTAGAGGTGATGAAAACAGATTCCCCCTTTTCCTCCTTTACTAATTATAAAAAAAATTGGGCCAAAAATAGGCCATTCTGGTTTTGGGCCTGAGGCGCCGGCCTCATTTGCCTCGCCACAGGGCCGGCCCTGTATACATGCCGATACCCATCTTTGGCAGCGTGTAGTGGGACTGAGAATTCGTGTTACATATTACGTTCAGTTCCAAATATAAAGTGAACAAAAGAGGAAAAGATCCAAATAAGGAGTTGGATACTTGCTCAAAGTGGAGTGGGAGACCAGGGAACGTGTTGATAAATTTCCCATGGAATAATTTCCTTCAAAAAGACCTCAGTGTCCGTTTGATTACAATGGTAGAAAATGGGTGGAAAGAAAATGAATTTCAGGGAAAATAATTGCCTAAAACTTATTTTTCAGATAATTATTAATTAAATGTGTTTGATTGGTATAATTTTTCACCCGAAATATTTTTAAAATTTTGGATCTTTTTGTTCACGTTTGACTTCATTTTATATGGAAATTATTCATTAAAGTGAATTTTTTTTTACGATTAGTTATGAAATTTGTTACCATTGCCAAAAAGTAAAAAGAAAAAAAAAAGTTTGCTCTAAAACTATTTTTGCACCATTTTTTAATTAAAGTTTAGTGTTCGTTTGGTTTCGTTTTATATGAAAATTATCCATTAAAATGAGTTTTTTTTTTTTAACTGGT